TTTTTAAATAAATTAGTAAGACAACAAAAAACTTAGATTAAAATAATTTGCAATTTTTATATTTGTTGTTTTTGTTTGTCTTAAATTTGAAAAGAAATAAAATATTCATCATGAATCATTCTTACTTATTACATTTGGACTCATGCAACAAAACATGAATCAATCAAAACAATGTGGTTCACAATATAAAAGAAAGGACAAATATATACGATTCTGTGTAAAAAAAAATTGTTTCGAATGGATGAAATTATTTCAAATGTTAAGCTGTCCTATCCAAATTATGGTAGAGATCTACCTGTGAAGAAATTATTTCTATCAAAGTATCGTAGATTTCCTCGAAAAATTTGTATAACACCTGCTTCAAATGAAAACGGAACGAATGTAGCATTTCATGTCAAAAGTGTATTAGAACGAATATATGGTAACTATGATATTAAAAATGAATTATCTATTGTTCGACGTTATTTTCATCCATGTTCAAAGAAATATTATATATATGAACAAATATTATCAATACCAAATATCAATGGAATCTACATAAATTTAAATAGATGTTCATGGATAACTAATTATACAAATAATTCTAAAAAATTGATTCAACCTGATTATATTCCAAATTGTCATTTTCTTATTGTATCTGAAATTCTTATATTCTATTTAGAAGAACATGAGATTTTTGTTCAAAAGTTTGCTAATAATTTAATTAATGATAATACATTGAGTCTTATAGCACCTAAAATAGCTAATTTACGTCTTATTGGTAAGCATAAAAATCGTTGCAACGGTGGTTCGGAATCATTTTATTTAATGGGTTATATATATATGAAAAAGCCACGTATCGATGATTTAGCTCTGAGTTATGGTGGACAAGATTTTTTTCATGTACATAATAAAATTGTTGCATGGCTTAATAAAAAAGATACTCATGGTCTTGTACTCTTACATGGAGCACCTGGATCAGGTAAATATTATCAATGAATTTATGACCGACACGAAAAAAACATGGTAATAATCATTTATTTCTTTAGGTAAAACACATTATATACGTTATTTACTTCATTGTATAACAAATGAAAAAGAAAGATATCTTATCTATGTTCCAAGTGATATGATTGACTATCTTACAAGTCCTGCACTTATTCCTCTACTTCTTAGTTATCCAAATTCATTATTGATTATTGAAGATGCAGAAGGAAGTCTTTCTCGATTACGTACATCAAGTCAATCAGTTGCTAATCTACTTAATCTTTCAGATGGTCTTTTAAGTGATGGAATTCAAGTTCAAATTTTAGCTACGTTTAATTGTCCATTGATATCATTAGATCCTGCTCTTTTACGTCCTGGACGTCTTATTGTTCAATATTGTTTTCCATCAACATTGAATATTGAAAATGCACGACGTTTAGCTGATTCTATTGGTGTTTCAAATATAGATCAAATTAATGAGCCACTTTCATTAGCGAATATATATGCTATGAGAGATGAAAATGTTGCAGAAGAACAAGATGAACCAATAACTTCTACTTGTCACAAATGTGTTGCACTCAATTATGGTGAAGAAGAAGAATAGCATCAGATCTCATAACAATGCTACTTACCTGATTTTTTTTTGTCTTTAGAAATGTTCTAATTTATTTGTTTTTGAATGAACATTCTGATTTTGTTCTGATCTTTCACTATCGGCTCCTATAGGACTGCATTCACCCTATTATGATACTTTCTTTTTGTTCGACAAAAAAAGGAGATTAAATTCACGTTATATTTATTTCAATTACTTTTTATTTTCATAAATGATTCAAATGTTCATTATTTTCAATTATTTGAGGTTTGAAATGAGTTAATTCTATACCTCTTTTCTTCGACATTTTAGTTGTTTCTTATTGCAAAGCTTTTTGTTCATGTGTTCATTAGATTTTATTTTCTTATAATGATATCACTTTCTTCACAAATAACAATTCGTTTCTCAATAACGACATTCACATTGTTCATCAAACTTTTTGTTATCATTTGTTACCTTTAACACAATGAGAATAAGCATTTTTTTTGCATGTTCGAAAATAAATTGGACATTACTAAGACCTTGAAGACAAAAAGTCATAAAATCATCTAGTATTAAAAAAACATGTCTCTTGATCTTTCAGAATAGCAAAGTAAAGGAGCATGTCTGCTGAAGTTAAATTGCCGCAAGAAGGTTGCTTTACATATAAAGAGAGTGAATGAAATAGAATAAACAATATAAAATGAAAAAAAAAAACCAAGAAGAATTAGAGGTGAGCATCTAAGAAATAAAAGTAATGCTACTATATATTTTACTACTCTTTAATCAATGTCGAAGTTGTTTGTCTAAGAAACATGCATTTTAATTCTAATCAACCATCATTACTTGACTTGCTCGTATGCAGATTTTATTCTAGATAGCAATATGAGAGTAAGTTTTACAAGGTCATTATTTTTAAAAGTTTCAATGATTTTGAGATATAAGCTACTGCGATACCTAATGAGATTTATCTTATCTTTTTCGTATATTAAACTGTGTAAGTTATTCGAAATAAAATATCTCAATTTAATCATTTGTAAAATAAGATCGACCGGTATTTCACAGTAACAAGATTAGTCTTTCAATCAGCACAATAGAATAATATATCTTGCTACAAATATTGACTACTCTTATATATGATGCTTCATTATTAGACAAATAAAAATTTTGCTTACGTAAATAATCATTAAAGAATAAAACCTATTTGTTTTAATTAGAGCAATAAAATTAATAAATTAATTTATAGAGTTAAATTGATAAAATAAATTACTTTTTTATGAGTTATAAGTATTTCTATATCATTACCTCTTTGTCGATCATTAGATAACATTAACGACTGACACTTTTCTCATGATCAATCATATACAGTAAAACCTCTATATGTGAACACCCCTCCTTAATGAACACCTCGCTATTACGAACGCTTCTAGCCGGTCCCAAAAATCGATTTTTGCTGGAAATAGACCTCTCCTTTATGAACACCTTCTTATTATGAACGCTTTTTACTGGTCCCGAAGGTGTTCAGATTAGAGAGGTTTTACTGTAGTTTGATAAAAAGTCTCCATACAATAAGAAATATCATGGAGATACGATTGACATTGTGTAAGTTTTTATCTTGGCTAAACTGAAACGACAAAATATTTTTATTGAAATATACGCTCTAATAGTTATTGTTCGAACCTTGATATTAAACAAAAGAAAAAAATAAATAATGCATTTATTAAGAGGATAGAAGAAACGCATGTTATTCGAAATAGCTTTTTTTTTTCTTAATAGCTCGAAAAAAATACTCGTTTATAATTTCAAGATCGATAATAATTGACATTTTATAATAGTCTAGGTGTGCTTATTTTTTTCTTGTTGATTACTTTTTCATTAAGAAACTATTTCATTTCAAAAATGCGACAATTTCTCTGTTGTCTCGGAAGATCGTTGTTCATACACCTATGCAATTATACGAGTTATTCATATTTGATTTTTGCTATCTTTTGTATTTTTATACACTGTTTTTTTCTTCTATTTGTGTCATTCACGCTTTAACACATAACGACGATACTTGGGACAAGTTGCTTACTTCCCACGTGAATGCATGAATATTCATGTTGATTGGTTAGTTATGTGTATTGAAATAAATATATTCATATAAATTACACGGCAAATGTGATACGTGCTGAAACAAAGACGTTGTTTGTGCTACTGTTAGTAACATATGACAAAAATATATTCCTATTACTTTTCTCGATTATTAATACTATATAGTTGCGATCAATATTATGATTTGTTTTCACTGTAAAAAACAGAAAAACTTATCAAGATTATTAATGATGTATATAAAAAAAACTGATATATAATTATCGTAAGTAAATGTAAATTAGATATATGTATTGACATTATTTATCTTCTTTTAAACACAGTATTTGAAGATACAATCGTTTATTACAAAAAAAAACTGCGTAAATTAATAAGAACACAAAAAAAAGCGACTATTATATTCTGGTAAAGTAAAACTAGATTAATTCTATTTAGGATTCGTATCTGATTGATAAATAAGTTGAATGATTAATCGAATCATTCGATTCTCAAATAAATTAAATTTTATTAATAATCAAACGTTTCGAAAAGTTTGATTATTAATATACAAATAAAATATTTATCATTAAGTTAATAAATTAAATTTATAGTTATATAATCAATTAGATATTCATACTTCCCATATAGAAAGTTTAAGATAATTTTCTGCTTTTATATATTGAGAGTCCAAACAGTGCTTTATAATTCTACGAAGGATTCATCATTTTTCAGTTAAGATGAGAATATTAGAAGTACAGTAAAAGTATTTGAAGCTAGACAAAAAAAAAGAATATATAGAAAAAGATTCATCAAACTTTTATTCGACCAATGTTCAAAGTAGTTAGCTCTGTTTGTTTACATAGAAACGTGTTCGTTGCATTCCTTTATTGAAAGTTTTTCTATAGTTCTCTTCACTCAAAAAGTTCAGGAACTTGACTAAAGAAGGAAGTATATCCATTCTTCCGATGAGGTGGCTTTATTGTGATACCTTCCTATGCACGATAATTGAACACATCGTTATGAATATGCGCTTTCTCATTATCTTGGTGAAATATATAATAGCATAAGTATCAAACGAAGGTCTTTGCTTCTTGATTTCATTTTCAACGGATTGCAAAATCATTACTGATCTAATATGAATAGCCGACAGTTAGAAATGAAAACAAGGTCAGTTGATTTAAAGAAGATGTTAACTAAAGTTAATGTAAATGAAATATTCAGACATGATGATGTCAAAATCCATATAGGA